ATTACTCAGTGACCTCCACTGGCTCCCCGTGGCCTCCAGAATCAAATTCAAGTCACTAATGCTTACAATCAAAGTGACAACTGGGTCTGCACCCATCTACCTAAACTCCATAATACAAACCTACGTTCCTTCTCGGCCACTACGCTCCTCCAACTGCCATCCCTTCACACCAAGCAATCCCAGTCCCGGCTATTCTCATCTGTGACACCACGATGGTGGAACGAGCTACCACACGCCATCAGAGCAGGGGCGTCCCTCTCTAACTTCAAGAAGCTCTTGAAAACTCATCTCTTCCGAGAACACTTCCTCTTATAACACCTCTAACTCCTAACATGATAAAAATAATAAAACTATTTGCGGAGAAGGGACAACGTCGCAGATATTTACATGTGCATTATTCTGGGTTTGTGTTATGCAGACCTATTGCAATGAAAATATATAAATTCACAATATAAAAATATACAACAAAGTTTGACAATTAACAACAAATATGTTTAATGTGCCAGGTTTGTGCATGATATGAAATGAAATAGTATTTACATATGCAGACATTTGTATTATTTGAAAGTGGGGGGTGTCAGTGTCATACAAATACAGAGCATTTACATTATGCTCACAAGCAATATTTGTCCAATATATTTGTTACCAATTTATGAAGATGGATGTTTTAAGATATAACATACGGAAGCCCTAAGCGGCCATCCATTCAAATATTTTTTTTACTCCATTTTACCATGATAAGGGGATAATTATCTCGAGATAACAAATGTTGTTTTCCTGTGATAATGGGATAATTTTCACAAGATCTCGAGATAAACCATGGCTGGATACAGGGGTCGGCAGGTGTGTTTCTTTAGGATAATTTCACTTACATCCAATGACTTTTTGTGTTTTTAATTATCTTGTGCAGCAAAGTTCTTATGAAGAGATTCAGGGGAATCCAATCACACAGTTCCCGACGGCTATTTCAAAGGTTCCAAAATAGCCGTCATGTGCAACATCAAATGGATATTTATGAATGAGAAGTGCAGGAATTTCCTCTGCCTAATGTTAAACTAAAGATAAAACTGAGGTTATTGTTCTGGGGCCCAAACACCTCCGTGATGCATTATCTAAAGATATATTTTCCCTTGATGGCATCGCCCTGGCCTCCAGCACCACTGTGAGGAATCTTGGAGTTATCTTTGATCAGGACATGTCGTTTAAGTCTCACATTTAGCAAATTTCAAGGACCGCCTTTTTTCAACTACGTCATATTGCGAAAATTAGGAACATCCTGTCTAAAAATGATGCAGAAAAAATAGTCCATGCATTTGTTACTTCTAGGCTGGATTACTGCAATTCCTTATTATCAGGCTGCTTGAAAAAGACCATTAAGACTCTTCAGCTGATCCAGAATGCTGCAGCACGCGTTCTGACAGGAACCAGGAAAACAGATCACATTTCTCCTGTTTTAGCTTCTCTGCATTGGCTTCCAGTAAAATCCAGAATTTAAAATCATTGTTCTTACCTACAAAGCTCTTAATGGTCAGGCACCATCTTATCTTAAAGAGCTCATAGTACCTTACTACCCCACCAGAGCACTGCGATCCCAGAATGCAGGGTTACTTGTGGTTCCTAGAGTTTCCAAAAGTAGACTAGGAGCCAGAGCGTCCAGCTATCAAGCTCCTCTCTTATGGAACCAGGTTCCAGTTTGGGTTCAGGAGGCAGACACCATCTCCACATTTAAGAGTAGGCTTAAGACTTTCCTCTTTGATAAAGCTTATAGTTAGGGCTGGCTCAGGTGAGTCCTGAACCATCCCTTAGTTATGCTGCTATAGGCCTAGACTGCCGGGGGATTTCCTATGATGCACTGAGCTCCTCTCTCCTCTACTTTCTTTCCCTCTGTATGCAACTTCATCCCATTATTGCATGTTACTAACACAACTTCTCCCCTTTCCGGTAGTCTTGTGCTTTCTCGTCCCTCTCCTCTCTCCTCCTATCACTTCCTGCAGGTTTTCTGGCTCTGGAGCTGTGGAGTCTGGATCTGTGGTTGCGGGTCACCTGCTGCCCCCGTGTTCCTGCTCGACACCCTCTGCTGCAACGACTATTGTTACTAGTCCTATTATTATTATTGTTATTATAATCATTAACATTATGATTATTATCATTAACACTGCTATAAATATCTGTACCAATTTCATTCAGTCTATAGCAACATCACCTTTCCTGTCTGTACCTCTGTGTGTGTATATTGTGTAGGCTGCCTCCCTCCCCCTCTCTCTCCTTCCATCCCTCTCTCTCTCTCCCTCTCTCTCTCTCTCTCTCTCTCCTTCACCCCCAACCGGTGGAGGCAGATGGCCGCCCACCCTGAGCCATGGTTCTGATCGAGGTTTCTGCCTCTTAAAGGAAGTTTTTCCTTGCCTCTGCTGCCTAGTGCTTGCACTTGGTGGGAATTGTTGGGCTTCTGTAAATAGCATCATAGAGTACGGTCTAGACCTGCTCTTTTATGAAAAGCGCTGTGAGATAACTTGTTGTGATTTGGTGCTATATAAATAAAATTGAATTGAAAATTGAATTGAATTGAATGTAAAACAGTATCTTCATAAGAACTTTGTTAAACAGGATTATGAATAAGAAACAAAAGAAAAACAAGGTCTTAAGTGAGCATTGAATCCTGTGTTCTACCGACTGAGCTGATCAATGACACTTAAATCTATTTTGAAATTATCATTAAGAAACGTTCCTGCTGACTCCAGTGTTAAAATACTGTTTTGTTATCTTGAGGTCTCAAGAAAATTACCCCATTATCATGGGAAAACAACATTTGTTACCTTGAGATCTCGAGATAATTATCCCGTTATCACTGGATATGGAGTAAAAAAAAAATTAATTCAATCGATGGCTGCTTAGGGCTTCTGTAGTAATAAATAGGTTTGGTCTTTTTATGGGATTTGGTGACAATAGGAAAAGCATTAAACAATTACCTAATTGTAAGTACTGTACAGTTATTTAATAAATGGACTTTCTACCACTGAAGAAGTAACAACATCATTTACATGTAACTGATGCTTTCATCCAAAGCGACTTACAATTGCTATAAATGTCAGAGGTCGCACGCTTCTTGAGCAACTAGGGCTTAAGTGTCTTGCTCAGGGACACATTGTTGGATGTGTTACAGTGGGGAATTTAACCCAGGTCTCTCACACTAAAGGCATACATCTTATCCTCTGTGCCATCACCACCCCATCACATTGAAGTGTCTGAGGGTAGGAAAATGGTCCTGACAAGTATTTGCCTGACTCATATTTTGAACTATTATTAGTTTTAGGACAGGGTCCGAAAGTCAGAAAATTCAATAATGGACTAAAACATTGTTGTTTTCAGGGATGTACTGGGAATAAAATTCAGCCCGGGACTTTGAGACAGAGGGCCTTTATATATACTCAAAAACCACAATGCAGCCCCATAAAATAGAGAAGGGTGAGGGAATCCCTCAGCTTCAGCTCTTTGTAGGCCTCTCCCTGGCTCAGCCCCCCTGTGCTGTACTCTGACTCTACTTGTACTGATTATGCAGCTACATATGAATGTTAAGAACATCAGTAATAAATATAACTAACAATAATCCATTTTCTTATTCTTTCTATGGATGGCCTAGCCAGCCCTGCACAGGCCCCTGTACCTGTCACTGTTTCTGGTTCCATTGTCCTACTGCTGCTTCTCTTCATCGTCCTTCTCCTACATCTCCTCCTGTTCCTCCTCCTCTTCCTTCTTCCTCCAACTCAAACTGTTAATAATATATAAATATATAATATAGCATATATGTCTATACATAAATGCATTACTTATCAGTGCTTGTGCCGGGGACTGCCTCATCTGTGCCTGCTGTAGCACCTTTCCACCAACTAAAGGCCTTTCCACATGGCAAGCGATTTACGCGCCTCGTAGCCTAATTCATTTTCAATGAGAGGCGAGCGTGTAGGAAGGGAGGTGCGAGCATTGCGACAGTCGTAGCGACAAGCGGACGTGTTCACAAAAAGATGATGGATGAGAGACTGATTTTCGCCGTCTGTGACTTCCCTGAAATATATAACTGTTCCCTGAACAGTTATCGGGACATTAACAGGAGGGCATTTGCATGACTAGATTTGTCAGCTATATGAATATGAATAATATATATAATATAAAAATATAGCCTATCAACTAACGTTTATATTATAGTTATAGTTAAAGCTAGGTTATGAAGGAATAGGCTACAGTTGCGCACAGAAGCCTTTGCCGTGGTTACTATCTATAGAGCGCCTTCCGTTTACTGGCGGAGCGCTTGTCTCGGTGTCTTTTCACATGAGAAGCCCAGAGCGACCACGACTTTAAAGGCGGAGTGTCACTTAGCGTGTGAAAAGACCTTAAGAGGTCGGTTAATTAGGCGCCTTTAGCTGCCTCTCATACCAACATTTCTTTCTTCTAAATTCTTAATTTTTCGGTACCACACATTTATTTGACCTCTTTCATTCTTTTCGACATGTTTACCTTCTCTGTTGTGCTTGTCACATCGGCACCATTGAGCCAATTAGATCTGAGCAAAAATGAGGATTGGTCCAAGCTGGGAGGGGCCGCCCGTGTCCCCCTTCAATATTGAAAGTATTGGTTTGGCCCAATTGAACATAAGAAACTGCCTGAAATGGACCAGTCGTTCGGGATTGTTCCCAAAATTCCCGATGGCCAGTCCACTCATGGTCGTTTTTGATCTTTTCATGGAATTTGTTGAAAATATAGAATAACACCAGCTTCATTCGTTAACCAAGACCAGCATATTTTTGTAACCATGTCCAAGTGCTTTAAGTCCCTTTATATAACCATAAACATGTTAATTATGCTTTTGTTGCCAGGATCAGATGTTGGGAAATCAAATTAAATATATAAATGGTGGTGTAGTGTTTTTAACATCATATGCCAACAAGACGTTCCTACCATAACATATTTAATCGGCTACATGCTTATGATTCTGGAGGCTGAAAACATACAAAGTGAAAAGCTGTGCTTTATTAAAATTACAACACACAGGAAGTATAGATACTGGTCTAACTCTTTACTTTGGTTAATCTTTTACATGTTTGTTCAACCAGCTCATGTTTATCATATTATATTCAGTTGATTAATAAACATTTACTGGCAAGTGGGCAGGAGCATCACACCGTCAACACACTTCTGGCGCATCTCCAGTACTTCATCATGTCTTCTTCCTCTGATACACTTAAACTCGATTACATCATTATGTGGAGAATACAGCTTATCATCAGCTGTATATCTGAAGGCAATATTGTGACTTCTCATGGCTTCTTTATCCACAGTGCAGGGTTCTGAAAAAGATAACAGATAAATATAATTTTTTTAATGTCAGGAATGACTGTACAGCATGCACCATATATAATTATTTCTAGTCTTGAATAAAAAAAAAACCATTGTGTATTTGAAAACTAAATATGTAGTCCCAAATGTAATTTTATATATATAATTCTAATTCATCAATCTAATAACATATTCTATTATGATACTCAACGTCAGTAGTTCTCAACCTTTTTTGGGCCAGCGCCCCCCTATCCATTATCCAGGTCCCTTACCGACCCCTGTCAAAAAACAGGTTGGCTATTTGCTCCTTACATGCTTGCTACTAACTTTTTTAAAGCTGGGTCTCCAACATTGACAGAGTTGTGTTGGATTGATTTGTGCAGCTGTGTTCATGACGGAGAGCGAGAGAGAGGGAGAGAGAGAGGGACGAGCGAGAGGATGTGCTGCGCAAATATGCGCTGCCTGCAGCTCTGCAATCAAATACGATTTTAAATAGGCCTAGTAAAAAAATCAAAAATCAATATGTGGCAGTCAGCGTTAATCATCGCTTGAATTTTTTTAAATAAATGAACATATGGGAAACACTGTAACTTATCTGCTCATGTTCAAAACTTTCTGCACATTCAGAATCTCTCCCACGTATGGGTTCTCTGACACGTAAAGAAAAAAAGTCGTAATATTACGAGACTAACGTCATTAGCCTATTTATTTATTTATTTTACTACATGCCCTGTAGAATAAAGTTGTATTTGTAAATAAAGATATATTTTAATAAGAAGAAAATTGCCTCTTTTGTGGAAGAGGAAATAGAAAATTTCATTGTCCATTTAAACTGTTCATTTTTAAAGAATATAAACTTTATTGTGATCATTTACAACCCATAGTTAGCTGTGTTTTTATTTAAAGTATATTAAAATCAATAAGCTACCATTTATATGCATTTAAATATGTGATTTTAAAGTAATTGAAGGCTTTCTCGACCCAAATCTAATTACCTTTAACAAGAGTGTCCTTTCTGTCAATTACAGATAACATCTAGAGAAAAATAGTAGGTAAATTTAGCTTTAGCTTTAGCTAAGACTATCTTAGCATCTAGGTTTGACTTGATGTATCTTTAGCTGACTAGTTGTTTGTCTCTCTGTGATGATTTTACATGTTATCTCATGGAAATTTCTAAGACATAGTCTTTTAAAAGATAAAACAGATTCCAAAAAGTCAGATTCCTGTTTTAACTAAATTTTCACCAAACACTGTGTCTATGTTTATTAGTCTTTAGTCCTTGTGTAATGGGTCTTTATGTTTATATTATGCTAATATTATTTGAACTGCTACATGCAAACACCGGAAACAAAAATCTGTTTGACATTATGCAAAATCCTTACAGAATGAAGTAGGAAAAGGAAATTGTAACTTACTGAGGCATCTCATCTGTCCAACCCATTCACCATTTTTGCAGGTTTTGTAAGGTCCACCCTGCATTACGTAGTAGTTCGGACAGACATATTCAACCCTATCTTCATGTCTGTACTGGAATCGAACACTGTCCTTGATATCTCCATCTGCAAGGGGCGGTGGTCTCCTACAACCCAAAGGAGCTAAAAGAATGTGGCCAGTCAGAGAAAGTACAGGTTCATTATTATTGTGGAGCAACCATGACATTTTTACACACACAGATGCATGTTTTAAGGCCTTTAAATTTTAAAATTAAAATGTAAACATCCGCTAAAAAAATACACATATGGATTTTTAGAAAAGCTCTTTAAGTCTTAAGTCTGTTTTTATACATTACCTGTTAATAGGGTACAACTAGCTTAAACTAAAGCGGACTAATACAACAGCTCTGCATTAAATCCAACTGTCATGATTATAATGTTCAGATCTTCTTTAGACCCCTTTGTGGTGTCTTTATGGTAAACAGAGACTGTGTAGTAACGAGTTATGTACTCAAGTACTTTTTTGAGTAAATCGTAGCCTACTTGTCAGAATAGTTTTATTGCATCACACTTTTACTCTTACTTGAGTGGTTTTTAGAGAAAAATCATTACTTTTACTCAGCTACATTTCAAGATGTTCATCGCGCTACTTGGCTACTTATTTATTTATTTATTTACCACAGTCACTCATCTACATGACTCTGTTAGAGCAGAATGATGGCTAAAGCTAGTATGGCTTTTAAATGGCGGTAGTTATGGAAGCCCTAAGCAGCCATGGACTCCATTCTTTCCCCTGTGATAACGGGATAATTATCTTGAGATCTCAAGACAACAAATATTGTTTTCCCGTGATAACATTTGCAATTAAACAGTCATGCTCATTGGTGTAGCCCGATGAAGACAGACCAAATTATGCACACATAAAAAAGACAAACTACTCTTATTTGATGTGGATGTGACTGATGTAATATTTTAACTACAGATGATCTTCCTCAGGTGAACGTGAAGAAGTGAACACACCTGTATTTAATAGGAAATAAATTCTGAAACAACACAGCATTATCTCATAATTTGATTTGTTTGCCAAATCAGAATTTGATATCAGAGACAACAAGAAAATAATAATTATTTTTAAACAATTTTTACTTATTGGAGTACTACTACTCCAACAGACTACTATATTAATGTAGTAATTTTTGTAATTACACTTGATGGATACGGAGTGGGAATATTGTTCTGGTGTAAATGTGGCAGGTTATCTAATCAGGAGATGACGACTTGTCGTTTCATCACAAATAAATACAAGTGTATGTTCACTTCTTTACCCTACCAGAGGAAGACCATCTGAAATAATTCTAGTCACATCCACATAAAATTAAATACTTTATTTTTTTTTCTTCTTGAGTTACTCACAAAGTTACTCATTGCTCAAGTAATTTCTGAACTCTTACTCAAGTAGTTATTTTGATGACTACTTTTACTTCTACTTGAGTACTTGTTTTTGCAAAGTAACAGTAGTTTTACTTGAGTACTCTACCCACCTCTGATGGTAAAGTTAATTAACGTTAATTGCAGTGCAAATGTCAAGTTACAGTCATTTTTATGAAACCTGAAACACTAACTACTAAATTATTACTAAAATAGGAAGAACAAAATAGCAGCACAAAGACAATACATATCAGTGCAGTGTAGCAGAGTAAATATCATAGCAAATCAAGCCATCTGAGATCGCAGTGCACTGTGGTAAACAGCTGAAAGTTGAGTCATTAATCATATTTTTCATCATTTCCATAGATAAGGAGCAAGGGGACAAGGGAAGAATTGACTTACGTCCACATGTTGGGAAGGGGTCACTCCACTGTCCGTTTGCTAAACATTCCACTGATGCATTCCCTCGAAGAAAGTGTCCTCTCTGTCTGCACTTAAACCTTAACTTTTGTCCTTTTCGTAGTTGATTATTTGGTACATATACGGAGATGTGTACGTTGGCTGGTACATCTGTGACTTTGCATTGGTCTGTTGTGTAGAAGAGAATATGTTTCATCAAGATGTTTATATAGTATAAACTGTAGCATATTAGACTTCAGATGTAAATGTTATCTGATGTAAATCTTAAATGTCCAAATCTGTCTCTGTTGTATGACAACTTCCCCCAAAGTGGCAAAAAAATGAATTATTGCAGATTTAATTATTGCTTTATGTACAGGTTCTTGAGGGGAAAGGCACACATGATAAGAATGCCTTTAACATTCAACTTTAGCTTTGACTTGTTGTTATGCTTCAAACTTAATATGACCTCTGACGTATCTCACATGTCAGCATCCTGGGTCTCTTATCTCTCTAATCAGACAAAATATTCATGTTTTTTGTCTTCATCTGAATATTAATTCTCAGAGAAGATAGTAAAGATTGATGGGATTTATCAGTCTTCTGTCTATCTATATCTGTCTATCGTCTCTGAAAATCAATATTCAAATTTGCCTAAAAAGATAAGCAAAAGGGGGTAAAATCAAACTAAATGGGATTAACCTCTAATGAAAGTATTGAATGAACATACCAACACAAGTTGGAAAGGGAGCATTCCACTGCCCAGTTTCTAAACATTCAATTTCTTCAGCCCCGTCCAGTGCATATTGATCACTGCATTGAAACCGTAATTTATGTCCAATCTTCACTGTTTTATTTGCTGGTGGTACAGCTACACTGAGATGGGGGTTCATCACGTCAACTTTACAAGTGATGTCTGAAAAGAATAAAACAGATATTATCAAATGAAAAACTGGGGTTCAGTGGACAGTTTTCTGTCCAACAGGGCCCACCCTTATAATGTTTGCAGTCATTTTAGTGTATTGTAACATGCTCTACAAAATAAAACATTATTATGTACACAATATAACAATTTTTATGTCAAAGGGTTTACCTTCACAAGAGGGGAATGGATTATCCCACTGTCCATCTTTACCACATATCAGCACTGAACTGCCATTCCGGTATTTCCCAGGGCTATCACAGCTGAATGTGAGGAATCGGTCAGGAAGTATCGGTTCTTCATTTTGTGGTAAACCTTTTACTGTAAACCCACCATCTGTAGGAGGCGGGTCACAGCTTAAAGCTGAGTAAACAAAACCAAACAGTCAGTCATTCGATGTTTAAATAAACGTCTTAACTTCCACAGTGGGGGATCAACATAGGGCAGAGTCTCCCCAAAGAAATGCAAAGTGGGAGGTACTGTCTTTTTCCACATACATTTTTAATGATAACCTAAATCTTACTTAACATAGAAACAGTGAGAAGCTCGAACCACAGCAAATTCAAAAAGCTTTGTTGCTGTACCATAGTTGCTGAATTAATCCAGAACTGAGCTTCTGATTGTAAAATCAGTTTTCACAACATCATTATCTTTAGCTTCCACCCACTGTTAACAGGATTGGATTCTTGCCGAAATGGACATTGAAAGTCGCAGTTAATGTCTACCCTGAAGTTTTTATGTAAACAAGCTTGTACGTTTGACTTTTTATCAAAAAACCAGATATTTTCTGATGCAGTTGTTAATCTTTTGCACTGAGGATTCATTCAGGAGCATTTCATGTTGATCTGCACCATATAAGCACTCTAACTATGGGTCAGGTAACATTGCAGTGAATGAATGGGACTTTTACTTTCCAAGAGGGGTGCCTGGAATAGCTCCTTCCACTGTGTAACTCTACTTTTACTCCAGATTCAGAGTTATCCTGTTTTGCTTCAGTAAAACTTGATGCATGTTTACATTCACAATAACTCTGCAATAACAAACAAAAAATGTTCCAGTGCCACTTTAAAGTTGATAGTAATTGACAGAACAATGTGTTATTACTAAAGGCTCGTGCAGACTATACGACTTTCAGCGTCGGCCATCGTGTTGTTCACACTACACCACTTGCCATCTTGTGAGGGGAGTCTTGAAGTAGTTGTGACGTTCACAATACGTGACGGATCGGTGACAGAGTCGGTGTCAGCTCCTGTAGTGTATGACCTCTGTCACCGATCCGTCACGTATTGTGATTTTGCATGCTAGATATCGGCACACGTCGGCGATGTGTCAGAAATGTGTCGGGGAGCCATTTTGACGCTTCATGGAGTAGTTCACACATGCGACTGCCAATCAACCGCTGATTTACTCCAGACCACAGCCTGACGGTCGCCAAGCTCGCTGAGTGGCAAATCGGGCTAAAAATCGTGAAGTGTGGACTAGGCTTAAGACTTACGATCACATATTGGCACGTGATTGGTCCATTTGTTCAGCAAACAAGTCCTGGTGTCGTCCTTACTCACCATTTGATACCTGCAATGAACAGTATATAACAGTATTTTCCACCTGATTACTAGTCAGAGAAATTACTATGGAAAGAAAAACAATGTGCCAGGTACAACTAATGAAGGCTTTATAACACACTATGATTGGTTTATTAATCAAATTTGTCACTAGTACCTGTGAAACCTATGTAACTGGTTCACCAGGTGGTTGACATTGTATTACAATAACATGTCATTTAACATAGCTGTAATTATATGTCTCCACAAAACTTGAAATAAACACCCCAAAATGTCCTTATATGTGCATATAAAATGCTTACAAAGGTTGAGTTACCATTACTTCCAGTTTCTATGAATCATTCTAGATCCACATACCCTTCATTGCAGAAGTATTTGATGGTTGATCCAAAAACAAAGTCTTCACCGTTGATAATTTGATAATAGCCATTGGGAGTGTCATCAGGAAGTTCACATGGCTTCACTTAAAAGAAAAGAAAAAGCATCATCAACCAAACAACCAAATGAAAGTTTTTTTCTTTTTCTTTACCTGATTTTAAACATTGGTCTTTATTCTTTAAGGCTTTATTGTTGTATTTTAGTTGAAAGCACTTGTAAACTGCAGTGATGTAATTTTCATCCAAGTTTGTTCTTTTATTGTGCAGCAGACATGTTATTGGTTTGTTGCTTTGAAGAGGTTGTTGTCCAGTTACTAGAAATTGTTGTCAGCAACATAATGCAGAACTCTCGCAGTAATATATTCTGATTAATTGGTTACTTTTGGGTAATTTTCTTGATATGGAACAGATTTATTCAGACATATTCAAATAATACTTGCACATTGTAATTATTGTCTCTAAGTGTGGATTCTCCTGAATGAAAACCTAAAATAGATCTTTTGAAAATATAATAAATAAAAGGAATAACATTTGTGGTAACCTGATTACTGCAGTCACACAAGTTGCAATGAAATAAGGAGCAGAACAGAAAGCGATTTAACTCACAGTAGCACCTTCCCTGGTGGACTGCCATCCAGCCTGTATTTGTACAGACATATCTGATGGTTGGCCCTGATACATAACCAGTTTCACAAGTAAAATGTATCACATTTCCTTGTTGGTACTCAGCCCTTTTGGTCTCTCCTGACACTTGGGCATGAGGAACATCTGGGAGCTTTGAACATACTAACAAACAGCAACATGGGAAAAAAAGAAGAGAAATTGGACATGTCTTTTCAACAGTTGTGTGTTAATAACAAAACATGTGAATCGGAAGATCTTTAGCTATGTGTCTGCGTAGGAATATAATTTTGAGACCATACTTTACATACTTAAGCCAAACAACCGACGCATATAGGTGTATCTCAAAAATTTTAATATTGAAGAAAAGTTCATTTTCTTCTTAATTTAATTAAAAAAGCAAAACTTTCATATATTCTAGATTTATTAACCATAAAGTGAAATATTTAAAAACTTTGTAGTTTTTATATTGATAATTACTGCTTACAGGATGGAAATCAAAACTCTAGTATCTCAAAGTAAATTTTAGATGAAAGAATCTATAATACAGAAATGTCGACCTGAGAAGAGCTCTAATCAGCAAATTAACTCAAAGCACCTGCAAAGGTTTCCTGAGCCTTTAATCTCTGAGTCTGGTTCTCACCATGAACTTTTATTAAAATTTTCTGAGATGCATTTGTATGCTCATCCTACTGTAATAAGGCAACAACACAAATCAAAACACAACAATTAACATGGATGTCTTTGAATGTCTCTTCTCTTTGCAACCCCTCTTCCTGACAACAGTGTGCACTTTTGGAAAGCGAGTATTTAAAAAATATAAGTCTGTCTTACCATTCTGTGATACAGAAACTTTCACATTCCCCCACAGTTGGATAAACAAAAAGATTAAAGACAATCGCATTTCGATGAGCAGCTGTGCAGTGAGAAACAACAGTCTTACTGACGCTAACTCCTTTGACAAACTCTGCTTTCTGTGGAATCCCTGTGTGTTTTTCCCTAAGCACAGTCCTCAGGGAGTACGAAGGGTCACAGTGTGGACTGCCCTGTGGGATTGCACAAGGCTTTATGAACACAACATGACACATGTGAACACACAAAGCACACACTGTTCACATTAACAACACTGAGAGTACAGATTCTTTTGTACAATAATAATACATTTATAGGCTTTTAATGTATTTCTTTGTATTACATCAAAAAAATAATAAAATTTTGAGTCTGCTTTGCATGACGTTACTTGACATAACTCAATTTGGGACAGATGTCAGAGACAATTTATGATAAATCATATTAAATTTGATGTTACTGTATGGCCCAGGAATGCTTTAGTAAAAATATCACATAAAACGAATGATGAAAACAAAATTGTGTCTAATGCACAACAGCTTAAATGCAACAGATACAGAATAGTTTATGTCTAATACTGACTTTTCATAAAAATATAGAATTTAAAGCTCAAGTTCTGTATAATATTTGACCGCCAACAAACTGGGCAAGCTGGTGAAGAAAGCCAGCTTGGTTGTGGGTATGGAACTGGACAGTGTAAATGCAGTGATTGAGATGAGGTTGAGAGGGAAGCTGAAAGCCATCTTGGACAACCTATCTCATCCTCTCTATGCTGAGCTGAGCTCACGAGCACCTTCAGCCACAGATTTATCTAGCTGCGCTTCTCAAAGTGCTTGGGAAGCTCATTTGTGCCATCTGCCATCAGACTCCACAACGCTACAGCACCAGTATCTCCACTGTTTTTTTTACTTTATTTGTATGTGCATGATACTCCTGTTTATATTGTAAATTTTTGATTCATATTGTATATTTGATTGTCACAGTGTGTTTACATTTCTTATATTTACTGATTTTACTTTTATCATAATTTTTTCTTTCTTGTTGAATTCCCCTTTACTGGTGTGCTAATTTGAATTTCCCCTATGGGAGATTAATAAAGGAACATCTTGTCTTATCTTAAGTTTGGCACTGTATGCTGATGATTAAATAGTTTCTGTCCAGTTTGATTACCAAATTCAATGTAGCTTGAAAAGTATTGATACTACAGTGCAAAGTCCATTGTAAATAAAGCAACTAGATAAAATGGTACTGAGCGAGCAAAACTGTTTATAATGATTCATACATAATAGTACAATATTATTTTAATAGACCATGTACCTTAAAAAGTAGGTTACATATAATGAAAAACAATGTACATTAAAAATTACTCATCAAAAAGTTGGTTTAAACGAAGGTCCAATCTCTGACCAGGCAGAGAGCCAATCATAGTTTAAGATAATGGGGTGGCACCTGGAGCGGCTAATCAGATTTTAGGGGTGGCCATCCCAGGAAACTTCCTGGCAACACTCCTGATTATTTTGACCTACATTCATTCTAAGGTCCTACAGCACATGCCAAACCCCTATTCTTACCTAACTTACCCTGACGTGATTCTAATTTTAACCAGAAACCAAGTATTAACTTTAAAAACCTTGAAATACATGGTTTACTTTGTCCACAAAATAGATATCATTGTGTTAAAAATGAACAGGAGGCTTATTAAATATTTTGTCCTACAAACGTTATTGTTGTGTAGATTAGCTAGTTGAGCCTAGTTTATGGAATCAAATTAACCACAACACTACAGTTTCAAGTACCAAAGTTGAACTGATGCCTCTAAATATAGAAAAATCTGCCTGACATTTGGAAGTTAGCTGAGTCATGGTCTTGTTCTAAATCTTTGGTCAAAACACATTTTTGGACATGATTTAAAAAATTCCATGTTAAATAAATTATGTGTTAATTGTAGTGGGACCAACCAGCCTCTCACCTCAAAAGGGAGGTGAGGTCAGATAATGCCAAAAGGGGGGAGGGGGAGTTTTCCACCGCTGGAGTTGGCCTTTTGACACACAAAAACCAGAGACATCGCCTGGTGTTTGGTACGGATCGGCAGAGACTCAATCAGACAATGCATCGCTTAAGGATTGTGTATTCAAAGAGCCTTAGTGAACCCCTCTAGCTGTAAAGGTGTCACTAGAGACTTTTAGCAGGACAGCAAAAGGGGCTGTCCGACCTCTCTCTCTCCACAGGTCACCTCCGGACATCAAAAGTACCACCCGTCCAACCTCAACCTGACTCCTTTTCCCACGGCTGAGCCATAAAACACCGCTCCCTTCTCTCTTTAGCCAATGTGCAAATGTGATAAGCAAGGAATGCAAAAGGGGGGACACTAACAAACCCTGTTTTTCTTGAACCAACAAATGTTTCATTATAAACTGTGTTTGTTCTGTTTTAATAATAATCCTTGCAAAGTTAGTAGTGGAATTTGCCTCTTAGTTTAGTAGTAATGACCCTGTTGTTATCCTGTGATGTTTGAAAACTAGAGAACCATAAGAAAGTAATCTTGAAGAGTTCCCTAATTTCCTCTTTTTGTTTTGTTTTAATTCCTCCCTGTTATTCCCTAGTAATCACTGTCTGTTTAGTATTAACTAATGCTTTAGTTAAACGTTTCATATACAATTTCCTACTAAAACATTCATCCACACGCCGGTATGTATAACCAGCTTCCCAGTTAAAGTGGTAAATCTCACAGTTGAATGTCTATTGTAACAATCGTAATGTTAATGATTATAATAACATATACAATAATAATAATAGGACTAGTAACAACAGTTGTTGCAGCAGAGGGTGTCGAGCAGGAACACGGGGGCAGCAGGTGACCCGCAGCCACAGATCCAGACTCCACAGTTTCAGACCCAGAAATACCTGCAGGAAGTGATAGGAGGAGAGAGGAGAGGGACGAGAAAGCACAAGACTACCGGAAAGGGGAGAAGTTGTGTTAGTAACATGCAATAATGGGATGAGGTTGCATACAGAGGGAGAGAAAGTAGAGGAGAGAGGAGCTCAGTGCATCATAGGAAATCCCCCGGCAGTCTAGGCCTATAGCAGCATAACTAAGGGATGGTTCAGGACTCACCTGAGCCAGACCTAACTATAAGCTTTATCAAAGAGAAAAGTCTTAAGCCTACTCTTAAATGTGGAGATGGTGTCTGCCTCCTGAACCCAAACTGGAACCTGATTCCACAGGAGAGGAGCTTGATAGCTGGACGCTCTGGCTCCTAGTCTACTTTTGGAGACTCTAGGAACCACAAGTAACCCTGCATTCTGGGAGCACAGTGCTCTGGTGGGGTAGTAAGGTACTATGAGCTCTTTAAGATAAGATGGTGCCTGACCATTAAGAGCTTTGTAGGTAAGAACAATGATTTTAAATTCTATTCTGGATTCGTGCTGCAGCATTCTGGATCAGCTGAAGAGTCTTAATGGTCTTTTTCAAGCAGCCTGATAATAAGGAATTGCAGTAATCCAGCCTAGAAGTAACAAATGCATGGACTAGTTTTTCTGCATCATTTTTAGACCGGATGTTCCTAATTTTCGCAATATTACGTAGGTGAAAAAAGGCGGTCCTTGAAATTTGCTTAATGTGAGACTTAAACGACATGTCCATATAAATAGGACTTAAACCAGCTTAGAGCGGTTCCTTTAATGCCAATGAAATGTTCCAGTCTCTGCAATAGGATCTGATGGTCAATGGTATCAAATGCAGCACTAAGATCTAATAAAACCAGTACAGAGACAAGTCCTTTGTCTGATGCAATAAGGAGGTCGTTAGGCAAAACAGTTTAAACATATATCTGGTTCTACAGCTGTTTCTAAGGTTCCTGAGTTTAGAGATAAGTCGGTGCCAGTTGAGGGCAGGTCTTGGTGAATTTTGTTTCTAATAGTTAGAATTTTATCATTAAAGAAGCTCATGAAGTCGTAACTACTGAGAGCTATGGGAATACATGGCTTAATAGAGACTGGGATTGTTCCTATTTTCCTCTATTAATGACGAGTAGTACGCTGCTCTGGCATTACGGAGGGCCTTCCTATAAATTTTGCAATAGCAACATTTTAGAAGAAAAATGACGAACTATTAGCAATTACAAAACATTTAGTGAAGTAGGTATAATCTGAAGCATCTTCTTTTCAACACTTTAACACTAATGAAAAGCCGACAGCATCTGCAAAGTCTTGAGAATAGCTCAGTGGGAAATGTGGGTTGGCTTGTAGAATCTATTGAGACAGAAATAGGTTAGAATTTTGTGACATCTCTATTATCTTTGACATAATGGCAATGGAAAACCTCAGGGATTGATTCATTACAGTACTTTTATGTTCTCTCTTTATATATGTTTGTAATGAAGACTAGAGAACACCTATCTTCTTCATAGGCCTAGAAATATACACACATACACATGAAGAGAATATTCAAAGTCTTGTTTTTTTCATGTTCTATTTTGTCCTTTTACCTTGGGGTGACTCATGCATTAAATTAAGAAATTGTGAACAGATGGGTAATCTTTGAGAAAATATTGAACATTCTTTGCTTACTCACATTACAACCACCTCCTGACTGACTCCTCAGACTGCATCTCCTGCTATCTATGACATAGTCACCATGAACTGAGCTTCTAACCACAGATCAGGAGCTAAAGTTAAAACTATGCAATTTAATGACAGTGCTTGCAAACATTCGTAAAATATGGTTTTGGGTAACACCTGCATGGCTTAACGATGATTCGTACCATGTAAGGTACCAACGTAGTTACTTCCATAGTTCAAACTAAGGGTTTGGGAAATGGTTGCATCACAACTTCATAGTTCCAACCACGGAAGTTGCTACCGTAGCAACAATGCTTTTGGGAAACGCACCCCAGGCCAACAAAGTCAGTGAACTCTTTTAAGTCCCTTCTTAAACTTTTATAGGAGAGCCTTTCCTGATTATAGATGATTTTATTTATTTTTTCTTTTCTTTAAACACGTAAGTGTTTTCTTGTTTTATTGATGTATCTTGTTATCTGTTTTATGTGTTTTATTGTCTTTGCACGTGTGAAAGCACTTTCTAACATGTTTTTTGAAAAATGCTCTGTAAATATTAAGAATTATTATTATTAGTTTAAAAACTAAATATATAATTACAGTTCCAATATTGTAGAGTTATTTTCTAATTTTTGAAGGCACTACAGCTACAGAAGTATTTACTGTAGCGGTCACCTGTTGGTGAAGCTTTTAATTCTCAACCCATGGTGCATATGCATATTAGTACCTTTTATCTGCAATCCCTAATGATATGCCGATGATAATCTCTTGAGGCTCATAAAATATCTAAAATGTTTGAAAACATTATATATATATATATAAAATCTTAATATGAAAAGTAACAAGTTGCTGTTGATGTCACCTAACTGTAGTACAGTACTATAATTAAATGTGCTTTCCGGTATGTAAAGAATACTATATATGTATTGCCTGCAATACTGAATACCTCATCCCTATGTATTTAAAAATGTATGTTTTATTCAATACATAAAAAAATAAATCCTCAAAAGGCAACTACTTAATTTTCACAGCATTGCAGACCTGACCAATACATAGAAATAAGTGTTTGATCTACCTAACCAAATGCTTAATGTGGAAATTTGTCTTAATGTCTTCTCTCATAAAATATGTATCTGATTGTAGAAGAAGAAAACACACTGAGAGAACATGTATGTTTTATTAAAACTGTCACAGTTGGCAGCACTGATGCAGACACAGGAGATCAGCTCATAACTCTATGTTATTAATTGTCTTGCTAATCATTTACATGTTTGTCCAGCCATCTCAGGTCGGTCACTTAACCTCTTTACGGCAAGTGGGCAGGGCCAGCACACCATTAACACACCTCTGACGCATCATCACTGCTCCATCATGACTTGATCCTCTGATACACTTGAACTCGATTTCTTCATTATGGATTAAATATTGCGGAATAGTTCTTTTGAACCAAATATGATTACTTTTCATGGCATTTTTGTCCAGAGTGCAGGGTTCTGAAAGAGATAATAGTTGACATTTTCAGTGAGTGATCACATGTTTTATCGCCTTTAAAGTTTAAAATATAAATGTAAGCAACCACAAAAATAAAAGCAAATGGCTAATTTATAAATAAAAAAAGTCGTAAGTCTGTATTTACACTGCCTGTTTATTAGGTACACCTAGCTTAAACTAATGCAGTCCAATACAACAGCTCTGCAATAAAATTAACTTCATGGAGGTTAAAATGTTCAGGTCTTGTTCGGGTATCTTTTAGAGAGGTGTCTTTATGATAAAGTTGAATTAATGTTAATACCAGAGAAAATGTCTTAAGTTAGAGTAATTTTTATAAAACATGAAACACTAAGAAGGACTAAGAATAACTTAAACAGCTGTAAAAAATAACAGCGCAAAGAAAATACATACAACCTGGCAACTAGCGAATTACATCTGCACTATTGTGTTCACTGTCGCTTTAGCCTACCTGTACCGTGCTTTCATTGAAAGTGAACATACCAGCACAAGTTGGAAAAGGGGCATTCCACTGTCCAGTTTGTAAACATTCAATTTCTTCAGACCCGACCAGTCCATATTGACCATCACAGTCAAAGTGTAATTTATGTCCAATCTTCATTATTTTGTTTTGTGGTAGTCCAGTTACATTGAGATGAGAGGGCATTAAGTCAGTAACATTACACGTGATTTCTGGAAAGAATAAAACAGATATTATCAAATGATGTTATGTTCTTTCCATTAGAGTAAAAGAAGACATGGAAGCAAAACAGATAATGTGTGTGTGTGTGCGTGTGCATGTGTGTGTGCTAAGGACTTGCACAGACATGTTGGGGGGCAGGAGCTGAAGTTTATGACAAAACATTAAATGTTAACACAACTCAGATCAAATCATCCAGTTATTTAATATTTTCTATCATTTTTAAGGCACTGCAGCTACAAAAGCATATACTGTAGCTGTTGTAGTGAACCAGCCAGTGTTGGTTTAATTATTTTATGCCAAAAGGAAAGAATCCAGCATAGCTCTCTTTGTCTCTCCCTGAAAGAAAGCGGGGGGTGACTCCAGGCCCTAAGTACTCCAAAGGAGGGGTGAAAGGTTTGCTCCGCTCCAAATGCTGTTTGGGAAGTTTTGACGATAAGACCTACCACCTCCTGTGAAGTTGATATAACAGACTATACATGACTGTTAAAATATTAACCTTGTCCAGAGACTAACCTTATACTGAACCTGGCTGCCAGGACCTTTTTGGACAGGGATCATGAAACTCTCACAGACACTTCACAAGATCAAAAGGGCAGGGTAACCATAGTAACGATGTTCCCCTTTTCAAATTACCTCAGACATCAAAGAACACCTTTCTTCAGTCCTGATTCTCTACCCCACCAAAGAGCCATTAACACGGACTCTTAACATGACCTCTCCCTTTTCACGGCTATGTGAAACTGATAAGAAAATCGAAACACCAGAGGAAGGACACTACCTCAAATTACTTTGTGTGGACAAAGAATGCTGTCTCTAAACTTGTGTAATTTTATGTCTCTTTTGAAATTATATCGGTATTGTTTGTTATACCGATATACTGCCCAGCCCTGCTTGATGGTGCTCCATGACGATATCCAGGTATAAATTTCGCCTTTTTAACTAAACTAATCCTCATTAACCTTTACTATATTTTGTGAGAATTAATATTCAAGTTTTCTTAAAAACATAAACTAAGGGATGTAAAATCAACATAGGTGGGATTAACCTTCAATAAAAGTGAACATACCAGCACAAGTTGGAAAAGGGGCATTCCACTGTCCAGTTTGTAAACATTCAATTTCTTCAGACCCGACCAGTCCATATTGACCATCACAGTCAAAGTGTAATTTATGTCCAATCTTCATTATTTTGTTTTGTGGTAGTCCAGTTACATTGAGATGAGGGGGCATTGAGTCGGTAACTTTACACGTGATTTCTGGAAAGAATAAAACAGATATTATCAAATGATGTTATGTTCTTTCCATTAGAGTAAAAGAAGACATGGAAGCAAAACAGATAATGTGTGTGTGTGCGTGTGCATGTGTGTGTGCTAAGGACTTGCACAGACATGTTGGGGGGCAGGAGCTGAAGTTTATGACAAAACATTAAATGTTAACACAACTCGGATCAAATCATCCAGTTATTTAATATTTTCTATCATTTTTAAGGCACTGCAGCTACAAAAGCATATACTGTAGCTGTTGTAGTGAACCAGCCAGTGTTGGTTTAATTATTTTATGCCAAAAGGAAAGAATCCAGCATAGCTCTCTTTGTCTCTCCCTGAAAGAAAGCGGGGGGTGACTCCAGGCCCTAAGTACTCCAAAGGAGGGGTGAAAGGTTTGCTCCGCTCCAAATGCTGTTTGGGAAGTTTTGACGATAAGACCTACCACCTCCTGTGAAGTTGATATAACAGACTATACATGACTGTTAAAATATTAACCTTGTCCAGAGACTAACCTTATCCTGAACCAGGCTGCCAGGACCTTTTTGGACAGGGATCATGAAACTCTCACAGACACTTCACAAGATCAAAAGGGCAGGGTAACCATAGTAACGATGTTCCCCTTTTCAAATTACCTCAGACATCAAAGAACACCTTTCTTCAGTCCTGATTCTCTACCCCACCAAAGAGCCATTAACACGGACTCTTAACATGACCTCTCCCTTTTCACGGCTATGTGAAACTGATAAGGAAATCGAAACACCAGAGGAAGGACACTACCTCAAATTACTTTGTGTGGACAAAGAAGGCTGTCTCTAAACTTGCCTTATTAATCTCTTTAGTTAAATAATCTTTAAAAGTTATTTGTGGCCCTCACCAATTTTGAATAAATGATTACCATGTTCTTGTTTAGGAACTTTAGGTTGAAAAGAAGAAACCATAAATATGTTAATTTTGCTGTGCTCTTAATCTTCATCAATACACAGTTACATTCCTGCATTTAATTTATGTTTGAATTCAGGGTCCCTCCCCAGAGGACAAAATAAGTATTACATGCCATTGGTAACTGCCTCTCCATGTGCTTAATTTATACCATGTTCTTTTAATTTTAAGAACGTCTAACAATCAGTATTCTCCTGGAGGTATTTAAGATGTTCTTCCCAATTGCTATGAACCCTAGGAAATGTTTTTAACTGGTAACTATTCTAACTGTTATGGAATATTAACAATTACTTTTACTTTTAGCAAATGCTTAAAAATTATTTTACAATAATAATAGTAATAATAACTTTATTTGTAGAGCACTTATTGAGTACAAAGTGCTTTCACAGAAAACAAAGAACAATTAAAATCATAACAGTTAAAAAGACACCAAATAAGTAAGATATAACATGCAAATTAAAATGTAAATAAAATAATTAAAAGGCTAGCCAATCAGATAAAATCAGAAAACGCTTTCTTGAATAAATACGTTTTCAGGCGAGACTTAAAAGAAGATACCAACTCCAACATCAGAGGGAGGAGTAGGATTTACTAAGAGATTATCAGTGTTAAAGAGGAATCTATGATTGTGCTTTTTGGAAGTGATGAGAGTAGAGAAATTGTGTGTTCTAGCATTAAAGCTTTATTTCGGTTCGAATTAACATTTACCTCACTCCTCCCAACGACGACGAGTCGGAGGCCAGCCACGTGGGTTAGTTACGCGAGCAGTAACACAGAGGACATCAAACAAGGAACCGAGCCAGGGTGAAATGTCTATCACTGCAAGAGTTTTCTTCAAAGCGGACAGACCTCCGTGCAATCCCCTCGCAGAGCTGAGCGACCGACCGTACGGTGTACCAAGCCACCGCGGCCGTGAACGCAACGTGTGATTATTGGGCAGCTGACAACAAGCAGTAAAACAAAAAAAACCTACATTCTGTGGCCAGTTGATGTCCTTTAGGAACTGTGTGTGTGTACTGTTTAGTTTCAGGTCACTGGATGGAGAATTCACCTTTCGATTTGAGACTGACTGATTGATTGAACTGTATTAAAATAATTAAGCAATTATCATTCATCTTGGTGTACAAGTAAAATAGTTACAAAAAAAATACACCGACCACATTATATTATTTTATGAATGTTATGAATATATATATATATATATATAAATTAGTTTTGTGCGTAGATAGATTGGAGTTGCTGTCTCCACTATCAGTACTTACATAATATATATATTTACTTCCGTAGTTATCATCTTTTGCCACACAGGTGAAGATTGACCACATCATTTTTAGATAACATTTTAAATTCTGCCATGTCTGATGTATTTATCACTTTGCGTTTATTATGTCACTTTTAATAAAAGCCTGATAAATGAAAAAAAAATAAAATGTAAAAGACATAATTCATGCACACAGAAATAGAACAGCAATCTATCTATTGGTGTGACTTTGCAAAATGCTTTTGGATGTGCGTACCTGTACAGTTAAATTTCTTCGTCTCCCATTTCCCGTCTATGCATCGAATCGTATCCTCCCCCTCCATTGTATACTTCCCATGACACTTATAAGTTACTTCAGAGTTAGACAAGAAATTCTTCTGATAGGAAGTCACAACAACTGCATTCTGAACTTTAGGTGGGGGATTGCAATGACTGGCATAAGCTGCAAGAGAACACGGGTAAAACATATAGTATTAGGTTACACCATGTAATCTTTTTATACTTAAATCTGATCATATAATACTAAAGATGACTCACGTGCACAGATTGTTTCGAGTGGTTGTTCTGACTGCCAAATTCCATTGTGACATGTTAAGAAATCCTGATCACGGTATCCTTCCTTACATTTAATCTGGAAGTGTTCGCCATCTCGGTAATCATTGTCTTGAAGTGGCACTTCACTATTAGGAATAACAGGAATTTCTCCACAATTTTTTTCATCTAGAGTGGATACAATTAGAAACAGTTAGGATTGGATATTGCTGCAAATACATATGATATTAGCAAAAAGTACCAAAACCAGCCTGCATCAGGGATGTTACCTTTTTCCTAAATATCTAGTTTTAATGAATTCAAACTAACACGTAATTTGTTCATATAGCCTATTGTAAAATATGCTGTGATTGCAGTCATACTGAGTTTTGCTTCCCATGAGGAATAATGGCATTCACTGCCAATTTATAGTGTGGAAGTGGGCGGGATTGACATCTATTTCAGAAAATACTGATTATACTGACTATACTTCAAAACCACATTTCATTTTCTAGTTAAAATGATGTACAGGTTTAAGTTGTCTGTCAGCTTGAAGTTAATTTTCTACATCTACAAGCCTCTGTGGCCAGTTTGCTTCATGCTGGTTATAACCAGACATTTAAGACATTAAAGATGAATTACCAATGCATCGTTGAAATCCAGACCAAAAACCGTCAATACATGTGGCTTCACTCCACCAGCCTTTGGTGAAAAGCTTATAACCTTTATCACAGGAGTAGTACACCGTGTCATTAAATGGGCCAAGTACAAATCCATGTTCAACATTAGCCTTTTCGCATTCTGTGGTATCAATGAAAAACAGAGAAAGAAGTTATATTTAGACGGCAATAATCAACAGATTGCAGAGAACTAGGAGGTTGGTCTGTCTGTTGGCCCACCACTTTGGTCCAGGCTGAAATATTAAAAACCTTGTTGGATAGATTGCCAAGGAATTTGATATTTGTGTTGCCTATACAAAAAGACAGTTGTATATCTTCACGGCTGCCTCATGAGCTTAATTTATCATTTTCAACCAGACCATCTTGATTGTAGGTACAGAGACTGTTCAACAACACATATGTGGTTCTATGTTTCTACATTTTCTGAGAATATTCATAAGAAACATTAAACAAAACTCTCAAAATATAACCTTTAAAAATGTAAAATGTGAAGTTATTTTTTTCAAGACAGGTAGGAAAGATGGAAATGAGGCATGGAGCTGCTGTCCCCACCAATCCATCAAGTCATCAAGGTTAAAGAGTGTCTACTTAAGCATTAAAAACAGATTAATATCAGTTTTAAATTTGTATCAATTTGATATTCTGAAATAGTGGGCAAGCCTGTTAAAATATCTTTAATTGTTGTGTTAGTGTGAAAAATAACAATTTACAAAGGGATGGAAGAGACAACATTTGTCCTTGTAACTGTATTGTGTACTGTATTTTCTTACTTGCACACTCTGGAGACCCGGTCCAGCCATTTTCCGAACAGGTTAGAGTAAAACGTCCCTTTAAACCATTCTTGCAGATATATTCGACCTGGTCATTGTACCTGTATTCGGGCTTAACGTTTCCCTCAATGTCTGCAGTCGGGTAAGTTTTTCTATCGCATGTTATTGCTGAAAAAAAAGACAAAGAAATACAGTTACTCTGTACACTGATTGGCAGTTGGAAACAGTATTTAGTTTTCACATCAGAGCTGGTAAAGGATCCATCCATCGTCAACTGCTTATCCTGCATACAGGGTCGCGGAGGGTTGGAGCCAATCCCAGCTGGGGCAAAAGGCGGGGTACACCCTGGACAGGTCACCAGTCCATCTCAGGACCACACATAGACAAACAACCAGTCACGCTCACACCTAAGGACAATTTAGGGTCACCAATTAACCTAGCCTGCATGTCTTTGGACAGTGGGAGGAAGCACCCGGAGTCAGTCCCGCATTCCAATTTTGACTTATGCTAAAAATAAGATTAGCAAGATGTTTCAAAATATCAAAAGTATTCACTGGTTAGAATAGTCCCTTTGTGGTTATTTATGTACAGATGGGTGACAAATTGAAGGACAAACTCAACATGAAGTGTCTTAGTATGGAATCAGCCCACTACGAGTAGTTTATATGTATAAAGAAAATTTGATTTTGTTCAACATGATCTTTCTACCTTCAAAACTGTATTCTATACACAGAGAACAAATGATTGCATCTTACACTTGATTAGATATAAGAAAATACAGCTGCGGTTATTACATATTGTTTATACATGCATTAGCATCGAAATGATTCATACATCTTGATATCGTGTCTAATGGACACAGAGGGAGTATTATAGCCTATTATTTCAGTGTATCTATGATTTAATCAAAGTAGCAATAAAGGGTTAGCGTCATGGCTTTGAGCTTTGGCAAAGAATGTTTTTCACATTACAGTCTGATCACATCATACAGTCTGAACTGCATTTTAAATGTTGTTCTTTACTTCCTTACCTGTACATTTTGAATCACCTGTCCAACTATTTTCCCGACAGGTTCGAGTTGGACTTCCCCGATAACCTTTCTCGCAGACATAATTGACCTTTTCATAGTTTTTGTATATCTGCCTGTCATCGTTGAGAATTGCATTTGCAATCTCCAGTCGGCTGCATGTTATTTCTGAAAAACAAAATGCAATTATACACAACTCTACACATTTATTTCCCACTAGTTAGTACCACAGTCTATGGTTGGTACATACAAGCACAGGCATAAGTTGATGATATGGAGGGTATGAACTTGTAAGCAAAGACATCAAGAGATTCAAAGCATGTGACTGAGAGCGGTGGTAGTAGAATTACTACAAGGTAGACACAGAGAATAAAATGGCTAAAATAGCCACACACCTGCTGAATAAATCTGCTCACTAGTTTGTTTCATTTCACTTGTGCTCTAATTGTCTCGTTTTATCTCGCTCCTTTTGTAGTATTAGTCTACTACATGTGGTCAACTTTACATTTTTTAGACATCAATAATTTAAATTTAAAGCTTTTAAGTTCCTTAAAAGATTACTTTGTTGCCTGGAGAACATCCTGCAGTGATAAAAAGGCCATTAAATGTTTGATATTTATGGCAGCTGATGTCGCTGATTTTTGAATGTGATCACTATGATGTATTTATGTCATTAGGTACGAGTGTTTATGGGAGTGAACGTGACATAGCTTTGTAGTTCAGGGGAGTGGAATATCAGGCAATGTGAAATATTGGTATTATTTGCAGACACTGCAGCATAACTTGATATTAGCAAATGCAATGCTCAATAAATAAATAAACATCCCATTAAATGCCCAAAAATACAGTAAATAAATAAATGTATGCATTAATTAAAGTATACAAGGCAAATGTATAGATCTCTTTTAATTAACTTTTTTATTTATTCACCTTTGTATTAATTACCTTATTTATTTATTGTCCTTTGTAATCTCCAATTTTATTTATTAATTTCTTTTTTAAAATGTATTTTTTTATGTGTGGTTTTTAATATTTTTGTCTGTTTTATTCTTCCTTTGCATTTTCTACCCTATTTATTTCCTAAATGGTATTTATTTCTGTCTCCCCTTTTAACATTTCTCTATGCATTTCTATGTTATTATGCAAATTAAGGGGAACCCTGTCTCAAGGGGTCAACTTCTAGCATATTAATGGACCAGTCAGACGGCAGAGGTCGACTCCACATGCACACATCAACAAGCTTGAGCCTGACATAGTCACAGGAGATGGCTTCCTTTAGTGGACTGAGGTGTTTAGCAGCTCTCATTGAGGACAATACCACCAGCCATGTGTTCCTTCTTTTTCGTGTGGACCCTCTGACCTCCAGTGTTTTCAGTTAGCGACACATATGAACACAACTGCGGGAAAGTGAGCTGTTGTTTGTGAGAACCTCATGGTCAGCTAGCCGCAGTTAAATCTGGACTGCACTCGTATTTGATTATTTTTACGATAAATGCTCGGACACGGAGCCACTTGTTGCTTAGCTATTATTAGCGGCTCTGTTTCAACAAAACGTCCATTCAGGCTGAAAATTTACCCATGGTCTTGTGTCAGGAGATGCAGTGACATAATCAGCAGTGAGTGTAAGGGTGTACTCACACTAGGCGATCCATACTGTGCCCAAGCACTTTTAACCCCAAAAGTCCAGTTCGTTTGACCAGTGTGATCGCTGCGTGCCGGTATGCTTAACTGTGCCCGGGCGGAGGTAACAGAATGACAGTTGATATTGACTTCCAGCTATGTACAGTGTGCTTAGCTCAACAACCTAGCTGTGATCTAACGTTAACATAGCTCTCCTTATTAGCTAGGCTCTTGCATGCTTGCTAATAACTTTTTTTAAGGTGGGTTTCCAACACTGATCCAACTTGGATAGTTGTGTAGATATTTTTAATACAACCCACACCCCTAATATTATGGTGTAACTACAGGATAAGAAGTGGAAACATTCAAGATTATGTACAACTGTCTGTCTAGTATGCCTACTACTTTAACATTTAAAACAGCAAACAAACAAAACAGCCGGAAAAAACGCTGCGCCTCAAAAAAATGCCCGGTAGCACTTCAACTTGGGTTTTCAGAACAGCAGCTGGCGTTGTCAGTTGTTTAGTCAGTGTTGTGTCATTCAAAGAACGCTTTGTTCATTTGACCTAATCTTGTATGTCACAGCATCAGCACAGGAAACAGTATTGATTTGTTCACGACTCTCAACTGTGGTTCACCACTCTTATGGATCCTCGTCTTCACTCGGCAGGCTGACTTACTGCCAGCACCTGGGAATGAGAGGCAAGTCGGTTGTCAGGTAACAGTCACTGGACTGGCATATATCTATTTTGATAATTTTGTGACGTTTAACAAAGCATAACATTATTACAGCGCAGTGATGTTGTGCCATAGTTTTAACACAGCCGTACCGTAACTTTAGTCCTGCTAGTGTTTACAGTCAACAGAGTTATTCTGGGTCCGCGCCACTTCAGAGCCCTAACAGGGTTCTACCGGGAGCTGAGTTACCACAGAGGTCGTCTCCTCTCCAAAACAAACGGACCCAGTCATTAAAACATTAAAACACAGCCACATAGCAACGTTAGCGTTGTAGCCTTGTGGTTTGTTTACAGCTAACAGTTGATCCGGGTCCGCCAGTGAACTCAACGTAACTTTTACTTTTTATTTACCAACAGAGCTGGGCTTTTGTTTCACCGCTCATGACTGAAGAACAACCTGTAGTGTTTGAGATTATTATTAAATTTGTTAAATTTAAATAAGAGTGTGTTTTATTCATCTAGTGTGTCAAGCTCTTTTTTTTTTTTAATTTTCCACTAGAGGGTTGCAGCACAGCAATAACCAGCCTAGTTAAAATGAACGAAATGACACAATGACAAAAACATTACCTCATTTTAATGAACAAGATTTGGTGACTGGAGTCTGTCAAAAGAGTGACTTTTCCTATCACTAGTTGGTAAAAAACGCTTTGGTGGACAGGGGCCCTAAAGGGAGGACAAAATCATTTGTTTTTATTTAAATTAGTATATAATTTTTGTGACACATCACAATTAAGAATAGCATGATCATGAATTCAAAAGCTGCCAGAGAATGTCATTGTTCATTGTCAACTGTTCAGCTCTGTTTACCAGCACTTTAACTTATAGGTACCCAGCATTTTAAGTTTAATACATGAGCAAAAAGTTGTATTTGTTGAAATGTAAATTGTTTTATTAATTGCACATTATCAGCCCCTGTGCCACTGCTCTTTATTCTGAATTTGCTGTACCTAAAAAAAATTGGTAACCCATCTGTTACCAGCCTATGACAATGAACTCCAGGATGTAGCTATTCACAAATACTGTACAGTATGTAGCCTAAGGAACGATATTTGTCTTATAGCGGAATTTAAATTTTCTATGTAGTCAGATTTATATTGAACTCAAATGTGTTGTCATTGTCAGGAATTATTTATTTAATGTTTTTCCAGTAAACCAAAATTAAAGACATTTATTGTTTTACTTTTAATGGACACATGTAACATGTTTTATACTTCCTGTAAATATCACTCCAGTTAATCTTATTTTCATACTCTATGTGTTGTGTTAACGTTAATGTTGTATCGCATACAATTAACACTTGATAGCCTCTCTTAAGATAAGACTCTCAGACTGCACATGTCTTTGTAAAGAGAGAGAATCACGGAATAATTCTGTAACCCTGCCTGTCAGCTCGCTATGCTAAAACTGCTTAAACTGCATCAATCATAAAAGGTCCAATACGTGTGCACTCCAAATTTAGCTACTTCTAGCTGACTCTGTGCATCCCATAAACGATGGCTCCATTTACCGCAGTTCTGTGTCTGTGCATGCCGCAAACTTTCACTTTCACAAACGCTTTCTTGTCAGAGCGTCCACATGAAAAGGAAGGAAGACATGGCTGGTAGTATTGTCTTCAAATAGATCTGCTTAACACTTTAATTCACTTATCACTGTAGGAAGCCAAGTAGCAATGCTTCTTGACCTCTGCCGTTTGACTGGTCCACCAATAGGCGAGAAGTTGACCCCTTGATAAACAGCCCCCCTCATTTGCATAATGAGGCAGGAATGAATAGAGAAATGTAAAAAGAGGAGACAAAAATAAATACCATTGGGGAAATAAATAGGATAGAAAATGCAAAGGAAGAATAATACAGACAAAAACATTAAAATGCAAACATAAATACATACATTTAAAAAGGACGTAATTGATAAATAAAGTTTAAGATTATAAAAGAAAATAAATAAATAAGGTAATTAATACAAAGGTGAATAAATAACGAAGCTAATTAAAAGAGATATATAAATTTATGTCTCATAATTTAATTACTGCCTAAATTAATTTATTTACTGTATTTTTAGGAGAGGTTTAATTATTTATTGAGCATTTATTTATTTCTGTATTTATTTCAGATTCTGTCAGGATCCATCCTCCATAGCCTGGGACCAGGACAGATTATTAGTAATGAAACAAGGGACTTTTAGTTCCTGAGTTGAACAGCTTTTCCTAGGACTTTTTAGTGGAACACAGACATTAAAGTATAAAATATCCTTCCTCACTTACATACAAAATTAATATTAATGTCATAAACACAACATTAACTTCACTGTACCTTGACAAAGTGGATTTGGTCTCCACCCCTCTCTGGTGCATGTGGCCCGTGTGGCGCCATCTGTACTCCTGTAGCCTGACCTACACGTATAACGTACAGTCTCATCCAATTTTGTTGGTTGCCTCCAATTGTCATACCAGTAATACACAAGGTTATCTCGTGGATTGCTGCATATAACCTCTAAAATAAGAGAAAGTCTTGTGAATGTAAAGTAAATTGAGATAATATTAATAATCATCATCACAGATTAATGAACCACACACACAGTAACAACAACAATTGCATAATCTTTCTCTGGCCCTGAATCATGTAGTTTTATACCTAGGCATACTGGTCTGAGAGTCCATTCTCCATCATCATCGCATGTAGTTACTGCTGAGGTGTCTCGATGGTTAGAAATCCCATACTTCTCTCCACAAATGACTCTTACTGTGTCACCAGGTGAAAACACATTTCTGTAAGGGGGTTCATACCTGGTTCCTAGTGGCGTTGATGGCAATTTGCATCTTATTGCTGCATTTGTTGTGAAACAAAGCATGTTTTCTATTAGTTTGTTGTAACAAGGCACACTAGCACCATCACATCCATCCACAAAGCACCAGTTTTCACTAGTGTGATATAACCAACAAATTTGATTACTCAGTTTATACTTACGTTCACACACAGGTGTGGGGCTCCACTCTGCTTTTGGTCCTAGTTTTATGCATTTTGAAGGTCTGCTTTCAGTGGCTTTAAATTTCTCATTGCACTCAAAACGCAGGATATCGTGTTCTTTGTACACTTGGATATTTCCAGGCACATATCCATTTTCAATATTGGGCGATGAACATTGTATCGCTGTTGAAAAATACCCAAAAGCATCAATATAACTACAACATTTTTTTTCATGAAAAGGCAAATGAACAGTAAACACAAAAAATATTACAAGGAGAGAAAGAGATTATGCTCATTAGACCACTGGAAACATTCAAGTAAAAACAAGGAAACATTGACAGCAAAAATTTTATATTTATATATTATTAGATATTTTTTAATATCACAAACTCAGGAAAACAGGGTAATTTCAGTGAGAACATTTATTTTAATAAAATGTATTTGTCTGCTTGCTGTTTCTTCTTGTTTCCTGTGTTTGTGCTAAGCTAAGCTAACCGCCTGTTGGCTGTAATGCCATATTCATTGGACAGTTATGAGAGTGCTATTTATCTGTTCATCTACTCCAGAAAAGTGGGATGGCTATTTCCCAAAATGCTGAACTAGTCCATTAAGATGTAACATCTCCAAGTCCGTGAAGATCATTCAGTTATCAAGTTTCAGTTTGAGATAAATTTTACTACTACTGATCTTTGTTTTCCATGCTTTTACTTCAGAACTGTGTTTGGACCACATTCCCATACCTGTTGAAAGGGACCATTTGAGTGTGGTAGAAATCCCTGATTATCTGCTACAGTATTATTATAAGTTCATCAAGCTATGGTGTAAATGCAAGGTAGGTCTTGGTGGGAAATTAATTCTGTTGGTTAATGGGTGTTAAGTGGTGACTATTCGATGGCTATGTGTTCTTGTTACTACTTAGTTGCTGGCTGATTAAAAGTGGTCTCCTTTTTTTAGCACATAATTACATGTTTCTGTCTTCCCCTTTCTTTTCTAAAAGAAAGACCTTTCTGTGCATCCTGTTTTCATTTTAGACATCCTGCTTTACCTTTGCATTTTGGAGCTTTGTCGCTCCAATCTCCATTTTCATCACAATAGATCTCAGTTGCACCAGACAGGATTTCAGTATTGGACTTGCAGCTAAATCGAACTACATTGCCAAAGGTTGCTTCCTCAGGGTCTCCATTCACCTGCACATTATTGTCCACATGAATCAATGGGCATTGTTGCGCTGGAAGAAAAAAAGTATGATGAATTTTAATGGATTGAATGATCAAAAAAACTTTCAAATGCGTCAACCTATAAGCAGGTAAGAAAAAAGTGTTTCAAAAGAGGTGACACAGAGAAATAAAAACAGTGATATTTCTCCTTGTGTGTCAGGCACCGATGACAGTGATTCTTACTTTCAGGTCTTACCTTCACAAACAGGAACAACCCCATCCCAGCCTTCAGCCATGCAAAGCATGTAGTTTGTGCGACTGACCATTTGGTAACTGAAACAGGTATAAAATAGAAAATGGAAAATGGAAATATCTCATTAAGGGCCAAATTTAAAGTGCACTCCTTGTTATGTAGGGTATACTACATGGATAAAAGTATAATACTAGAATACAAAGCCCAAAAAACACACCAAACAACAGTATACATTTGTGATCATAAAGACTTGCATACCCTTTGTGGCAGGTGTATACAACTTTTGACCCAAAGACAAAGTCTTCTCCCTTTTCTAGATGAAAATCTGCAAACTGGGCATCGCCGGGATGACCACATGATTTTGCTACATAAGAATGAGAGAGAGTATGAGTAAATATATTGTTAAGGTCTAAATTGCAGTGATGAGGCAAGCGGTTCTTCCATTCAATAATGATTAGCCATATTTCTATAACCTAAAATGCACACTATAAACAATAATCATATAATAAAGTTTAGCCTGCTTTGGCATTGTGCACTGACTCAAACCATTACACTATGTCCATTTAACAGAATGAAAACTGATCCAGCATTACATGTTGCATATTATGTACAAGTGTTTACCACTCATAATGGCAAATGGCATTTTTTTTGCAAATAGTAAAAGATTGTATCTTACGTTGACATTTATTGCCTCTAGGCTGCCATTTTCCCTCGACACAGATCAGTCGGAAAAAACCACTGTAGCCGACACTGCAGCTCACTCTGACTTGTTTTCCACCAGGGTAGCTGGCCGCCAGATCAGATATGTCAAAATTTGAATCATATAGGGGACCATCTAAAAATGATTGAAGGGTACAATCTGTGGGATAGGAAAATACCAAAAATACATTAAAAATTTTTTGCATGTTTATCATCACAAAAAGTTAATTAAATGGAAAGTAAAAATGCATACAAATAACTGAAAGTACTTGGTCTTACCTTGACTTTTCACAAAAGTCAGTGTATGCATCCACAAAAATAGGACACAGCTTTGGGTTATTATGTGCATTTTATCTTCATTACCCTGAACTACCAAGCAGGAGTAGAATCTGGAGACTGAAACACTATTATAGACAGAACGAGCTGTGGATTTCACAGGCAAAAACAGATTGCTCAATAATTTACGCAAGTCTGCTCCAGCCTCCTACTGCAATCTCAGGCTCACAGGAAACAGGAAAAAGAGGAAGTGACAACACACAGCCCATTATATGACACATTCTTAACAAAACCTTAAAAACACCAGGATGGCTCTCTCATATTAGTAGGCTATATGTATGATTAAGATTTATCTGGAAGAATAAGCTCAATCAATCATGAAAATGATAAAAAAGCAAAATAACAAAATCCCTCAGATGTTCTATTTCCTTAAAAAAAAAGTTAATGCCAGCAAAAATGTTAATGCAATGGAATTTTTTTTCCTTGTTAGTAATCATTTGCAGAAATCAATTGAGCAAACAAAATTTGTTGCGTTTCAGCAAGTCTACTCAGGCTCTTCTCATCTAGTGTAAATATAAAATAAGACTTAAGCAGAGCAAAGCAGTCACTTCAAACTAGTTCAAAAGTATTAAAATTATTTAAAAAAATATGAAACTATGTTACATTTAGTGTGTATAAATGTCACATAAGGACACAGTTTATGCAAATGTTTATTTGTTGGTGGCCTTGTGAAGGTGGAAAAAGCTGCCAAAAGGCTGGGAAACAAATAATGCATGAGTCTGACCTCAGTTTGGAAACGATTAAAACAAAATGTAGCCATTAAGCAATGTAGGGTTTGTCTATATTTCTCAATATAGTTTTCTGTTATTCATAGTACTTGTTGTAAACAGTGTGTGTCTGGGTCACAGAAACACTTGTATAGCCTATTGCACAAACTCATTCTTCAGAATATTTGTTACCAATTTGTGATAAGAAACTGAGGCAGCCGATATACTGTATATTCACTCCTGCATTTACATGTTACATGAATCTTATGAATGCACAAAAAATATTAATAATTAACTTTTTAAAAATGATTGGTTGACTAATCTAAAGTTTACATTGAAGTTTACATTGTTGCCCAGTCTCTCCCCTTGAAAAGAATTGTGAAAAAGCCCATGGTACACATGTGCTGTGTACCATATCGAATACTTTCTTTTTACTGTTAGTATATACTGCAGCCGCCCTTACAAAGTGCTTACTGTTGTATGCAGCTTGCATAGAAATGGGACATACTACTTACTCATAACATTGTGCCTGGAACTTGCTTACTAATATTTCTGTTGCCGTCCGTACATCAACATTCAGAAAATAAAACACTTGAATGTGCTGTCATCTGTCCATAACCAATCCATATTCAGAAACAGAATTAGTGTTAAGTCCTTCAAAAGTTCTTAGTAACTGATAGCAAGTTTAAAACTAGTGGTTTGAGTCTTTTGTAATGTATAAATCGGTTGCTTGAAAACATTTGTAGTGCTGTCCAATCGAAAGCAATCAACTCAGTTAACAGAAAATCACTGTAGCATCACAAGCTGCAACATAACTAACCAAAAATAACAGTTTCATGAGTCATATATTAAACTTTACTGCCAATTCTTTTCAAATGTAGGTACAGCTATGACTATTTTATTTCTATATCTATACATGAAGAAATGTATTTGAATGTTTGTTGTGTTTTTGCAGTTTAAAATGTTTGGGAAATATCACATTATTCTAACCTAAGCAACAGTTAGTCTGTAGGTATACTATATGTTTTTTTTGTGAAATGTAATTTAAATCTTACTGGTGTTACGACCCGGCTCGTCTTGGAGAGCATTAATATACAATAGGGAGTGGAACTGAGGTGGATTGCGACAACTGGAAGGTTCTGGTTACAGTCAGTTGTTTAACCAAAGAGGGCGCTTACACAAGGAAGTACAGAAAGTAACAGAAAGAGGCTATACGGGTGCTGACAAACAACCGATACACAAAATGAAACAAAAGAGGGTTACTTAGCTCTTGGCTCAAAAGTACACTAAAGAACGAAAAGAGGTCGACACCCATAAGCTTACAAAAATACAATGGTCGAAAACAAACTAGCAGTTATTCTGCAACTTTGAGGTCTCAAACAAAGAGTGTCCAACTCTTACAACATTTTGATCACCAATAACTGGGCTAATTTGAATTTGAGAACTTGTCCAACCGGTGTGCTGATGTAAATTCATGTATATGTATCTAATACTTGTTCCCCCTCTTAATTTGTGTAATTAATGCAACTGAAAGTTGTGTTGACTAAAATGATTACAAGAAAATACTAGTTTATTTTACTCTGTTTGTTAGATTGTGAATAACCTTGAGGAGACAAAGGGATTAGGTAGAGGATTTTGGGTTTTTGGATATTACAAAAAACACAAGGAGTAAGATTTACTTTAATATACAATAATCATGGTGTCTAATTTGTTTAGGAAAGGAACAACACCTTATATATCTATATACATTTAACTGGTTTTAAATGTGTACATATAGAGATGTATGCTGCATGTGTATGCATGTTCATGCCTTTGTTTCTTACCCTGTCCAACCATAGCACATGAAATGTTTCCATGTCTATCCTTCCCCGGAACACCAATCAATAAAAACATGGTTACCAAAAACAACACTGACTGGTCAGTATCTAATATTTAACTTATCATTACCACATACTTCACAGAAGGACACAGCTGTTCCAGGAATTGCTCAACAGTGACCCCCTGAGGCTGCTTCACAGAGAGAAACCACTGACAGAAATGAGAAGACATTACCGCAGGTGCCAAAGCATAGTCACAGGTGCTGTTTGCAGTAATGTAATAAAACATTTTTATATTAGCAGGTTAAACTCACGTTTAGCACTTTTTTTGTCTTTGCCATATGTACTTACATAACAGCATCAACACTGATGGATAAATAATTCCTCTTTAGATTAAACAAATGTTCCTTGAATCAGACTCAAGTCACTCACTGGGGCAGAGGGACAGACAGGCGGATATACAGAGCGGCGGTTAAAACAGATGGTACTGAATATTCAAATT